CTATCTATCTATCTATCTATCTATCTATCTATCTATCTATCTATCTAAATGCTATTGCTATTGCTATTTTGGATTGGATTAGTGGGAATGTATTTTATAAATGCAAATGCTCCGTAAGTGAGGAAATCAAAATCAATCAATTTTGACAATATGATTTATATTTGCATGTAATACTGTGTTGGAAGTGTTTATTTGCTCATCCAAGTCACAGAAAAGAAACAATGGCTCACCCTGGAAAGGTTATACAATTACAGCTGTTCATCCAACCAATATTTTTTTATCTGCCAAACATGTTGTTGTTGTTGTTGTTCAGGGCCAAATTCTTGCCTTGAACTGCAATGCTTTTTTCAACATTGTTGATCAAAAAGCTCTCACCAGCAGGAACCTCTCTACATTCAAAAGTAAATATTTTGATAACCTGTTCAGACATTAGCGACAAGAAGAAAGGTATCTATATTGTTACAATTGCTGCAGCCAGATCTCATTTTACATAACACTATCTATGTACTATTCAAGGCTTTAAGCAGGAAAATAAGCCAAGGAGACAGTGACTTGCTTATTCTTGAGGTTGTAAAAATGTGCAGTGAATGTATTTCAAGATGAGAAAAAAGGCAATTGTGCATCATAGCACTAATTGATATCTTACACTTCTTGGTAACAGTGATCCATGACTTTGTTGATTACATCATTTTTAAACTATTGAAATGCATATTGGACTCCTATAGAGGAGCACCTAACTGCTGTAAAATGTGGTGAGTAGACAGATAACTGGAGCATGGTACCATACTCCAATCACATTAAATCGTATTAAATAGCTATATTGGATAACAGTCTATTCCAGGCTCCATGTAAAGTATTTCATTTGACCTTTTAATTCATAACTGTCTTAGGTCATGACAGTGTACAGTGTAGAAGACTACCCATTTCATTATGATTCTAGATATTAATACCTTCAAGAGAAGTCCTTTTGAAGATGGCCAAGCCACAACGTTCTACTCTGAAGTTCTCAAACACTCTTTTGGAAGTTGAAATTGATCCCTGGTTTCAGGAATGCATCAAGATGTATGTTGTTAAGTTAGCCTTGGATTGGTTTTCATTTCATTTGTATTCATACAATATTTAGTTTTATGTTTTGTTCTTTTCTGCAAGTGCAAATGGAATATAAATGGAAAAATAAATTAGTTTGTGGAAGCTTTTTAAATAGGCTCAGCAGTTATCTACTTTATTCTTATCTGAACCATTGGTTCTTCCGCAAGGTAGAAAGCAAATAATTCCATTCCACAGTATAGAATAGAATATAGAATAACAGAGTTGGTAGGGACCTTGGAGGTCTTCTAGTCCAATCCCCTTCTCAGGCAGGAAATTCTATCCCATTTCAGACAAATAGTTGTCCAATCTCTTCTTGAAAACTTCCAGTGTTGGAGAATTCACAGCTTCTGGAGGCAAGTTGTTTCAGTGATTAATTGTTCCAACTATCAGGAAATTTCTTCTTAGGTCTAGGTTGCTTCTCTCCTTGATTAGTTTCCATTGATTGCTTCTTGTCCTGCCTCCAGGTACTTTGGAGAAAAGCTTGATTCCCTCTTCTTTGTGGAAACCCCTGAGATATTGAAACACTGCTATCTTGTCACCCTTAGTTCTTTTTTTGATTAAACTAGATATTCAATTCCAGCAACTATTCTTCATATGTTTTAGTCTCCAGTCCAGTAATCATGTTTGTTGCTCTTCTCTGCACTCTTTCTAGAGTCTCAATATTTTTTTTTACATTGTGGTGATCAAAACTGCATGCACTATTCCAAGTGTGGCCTTACCAAGGCATTATAAAGTGATATTAACACTTCACGTGATCTTGATTCTGTCCCTCTGATAATGGAGCCTAGAACGGTGTTGGCTTTTTTGGCAGCTCCAGCACACTGCTGGGTCATATTTATAACTGTCCACTAGGACTCCAAGATCCCTCTCACAGTTATTACTATTGAGCCAGGTACTATCTATACTATACCTGTGTGTTTGGTTTTCTTGCCTAAATGTAGAAATTTAACTTGGAAGTTTTTAACTAGAGCATTTGCTCATAATAATGCATATCTTTATGCAGGATTTCAGATAAGAATCTGAACTATTAGTGGGAAAGATACTAGTTATAATGGATATTTCATTACTGTATACTTCAGAGGAAGAAAAAAGATCAAATCTCTAAGAACCAATCTTATCGCTCTGGTTCATTTCTTAAGAAATTGTATGGGTTTGCTGTTCTGTATCTCGGTTTCTGGGGGGTGTCTCCTTTAGGAGTAGGTTGGTAATTGTGTTTCTTTGGAATCTGTTGGAAATTAATATGTTAGTGGGGGGGTGTAATTCTGTTCTCAGGTGGTCTTTGTCAGCTAGGCGTTTGGTTCTGGAGATGAGGGTCTTGGCTACGGAGTTGATCTGTGCAGGGTGGTGATGGGATTGTGTGTTTAAGTAGCAGTTGGTGTGTGTTTTCTTCTGGTGGATGGTATGTCCTAGGGAGCCATTGGGTTTTTTGTAAATTAGGACATCCAGGAAGGGAAGTTGGTTGTTGGCTTCTGTTTCCATGGTGAATTGTATTTTGGGGTGTAGGCTGTTGAGGTGTGTGAGGAAGTTGTCCAGTTTTTCTTTCCCATGTGGCCAAATTATGAAAGTGTCATCTACATGTCTAAGCCAGAATTTGGGTTTGCTCCTTCTATCTGTTTGTATCTTTGTCCATTATGGATGAAGTATGTGTTGGTTAGGCAGTGGTTGGTCAGATCTAGGATGTGCTTAGGGGGGGTTGCATTTGTTTGGATAGTTGTCAAGGCTTCTTTAATAGGTACTTGGGTGAAGAGGGATATGACATCAAAGCTCATGAGTAGGTCTCTGGGTTGTAGGTTTTGTTTCTTTATTGTTTCTATGAAGTAGAAAGAGTTATGTACGTGTGATTCTGTGCAGGGCTGGAGTTGTTTGGTGAGAAATTTGGCAAGATTCTGTAGAGGGGAGCCTATGGAGCTGACTATGGGTGTGAGTGGTATTCCTTCTTTGTGTATCTTGGGGAGGCCATAGAGTTTAGGGCATCTGGATGATTTTTCTCTGGGGATGATTCTTTGCTGGATATCTTCACTGATGGGAGAGGCTTTTATTTTAGATTTGGTGGTTTTTTTCCAAGTAGGTGGTGGGGTCTGTATTTAGAGGTTTGTAAGTGAGGTCTTGGAGTAGGTCGGATAGTTTGGATTGGTAGTCCGATGTGTTCATCATGGCTGTGGCGTTGCCTTTGTCTGCTGGGAGAATGATTATGTTGTTGTCTTTCCTCAAGTTGGTGGGTGCTTTTTGTTCTTCTCTGTGTAAGTTGCTTCTAGGTGGACTGCTGGAGCAGAGGATGTTGGTGTTTTCAAGTCTGATTTTATTGGCCACATCTGGATTAATTTTGGTTAGGCTAGCTTCAACTCCACATATGATGTTTTCAGTGGGGATGCATTTGGGGGCGACTGCAAAGTTGAATCCCTTGGAAAGGACGTTGGTTTCTGCTATGGTGATGGTTCTGTCTGATATGTTGTATACTGTTTGTTTCATGCGTTGTTGTGGGTGGGAGTTGGGCTTCTGGCATTTCTCTAGTCTGTGGAGTTTGTTGGTGTGTGTGTCTGTCTTGTGGGAGGTTTCTGTTTTGGCTCTCCAGAGGGCTAGTTGTTTGGATGTGTCCCAGAGTGCTGGGTGGATTTTGTTGCTGAGTTGAGGTGGAGAGTGAGTAGGTCCCTGCTGGTTTGGTCTAGTAGGAATCTTTTCCTGTGGAGTTCGTTTCTGATTAGGGCTAATTCTGTTCTTTTCAGGATCCTTTCAGTGGCTGAGGTTTTGGAATGGAATTTAAGTTGGAAGCATGCGGGGATCACTTTTTTGTCTCGGCAATTGCGTAGGAATGTGAGGTCACATAAGATGGTGGTTCTTCTATATATTCAAATGTTATTATTTGGAATGATAACAAAAATAATCCTCAGAGACCATCTCTATTTTAATCCCTATCAGGGCTAAATCAAGACATCCTTTTCCCATAATATTTTTATCATTTAGCCTAGAACTGAATCTGGCAATAGAGTAAACAGGAAGAAGTCCTAGATGGGGGGATACAGAAACCACAAACAGTTGATAAGAATTGGCATGATGCCTTGGTTTTTTTTTTTTATAAAAAGGCTGTTCCTTCTGCTTAGAATTATATATGAAGATTGTTAACTGAAGGAGTCAGTGAGTCATCGCTTTTGATAACGAGACCATGAATCATTTTGGCAAGTATTTAATCTACAAACCTGAAGGTAATGAGAAAAGTGCCAAAACCTCTTCCCAAGGGTTTTGTTAATCAGGAAGATTGAACAGCAGGTGGGGGGGGCATATCATATCAGATAAAGGGTGACTGAAACAAGGATTACATGATTGGGACAACTGTCTTTAAGGAACTTCAATATTTCTACGAGAAAATGTCGAACATCTTTTTTTTTCTCTTATTCATCTAATTTGTGATAAATATGTCCCCTAGGATGGAGGTGGAGAATCTTTTGCTCAGTGGCCCTTAACCTTCAATCCACTTTTTTTTTTATTTAGATAACTGAAAGGTCAGCTTCTCTCTACCTTACAAAAAAACCTCCTCTCTGTTGGACTGTCCTAACCAAAGAAGGATGGCAGCCTGTTCAATGAATATTTTTCCTCTCCCTCCCTCTAGCTGGTTTCCCTTATCCATTCTAAGGCTAAGGGGGAATAAATCAGAAAAATTTCCACAGTAGTTCTATTTCTACCCTTTTACTTGAATCCATAACCTACAAATCTAGAACTAGATAATGTATATATGTACTGATAGTCCTTGACTTAATATAGTTCCTTTAGTGACCATTCAAAGTTACAACAGACCTGGAAAAAAAGTGATAAGATTGTTTTTTCATACTGATGACAGTTGCAGGATCCCCATGGTTATGTGATCAAAATTCATAAACTTGGCAACAGACTCATATTTATGGTGGTTGCAGTTTCCTGGAGTCATGGGATCACCTTTTGCAACCTTCTGACAAGCAAAGTCGATGAGGAAGGAAGATTCACTTAACAACCATGTTACTAACTTAACAATTGCAGTGTTTCGCTTAACAATTTGGGCAAGGAAGGTGGTACATCACTGTGTCCTTATAATGGGGATGCTTCTAATTTGATGCTTCAGAATAGAATAGAATAGAATAGAATAGAATAGAATAGAATAGAATAGAATAGAATAGAATAGAATAGAATAGAATATATTCTATTATTGTCAGTTTAAATGTACACTAATCAGCAAATATTAAAATGAAATTTCATTGCATTCAGCTCTCAAAGAATAATCATTATGCATACACCCACACACACATAGAGAAATCAGTCTAGTTCAAATGTATCCATATACATGACAAAAAAATAAGAATCCTGCAAGTTTACAAGACAGATGGCATAAGGAACAAAACTGCTAGAGAATCTAGTAGTTCTGTAGCTATAGATACTTCAAAACCTTCTGTAAAAGGGGATCAACAGAAACAGACCATGAAGTGGATGTGTGGGCAGGGGTGGGATTCAATTTTTTTAACAACCGCTTTTGTGGGTGTGGCTTAGGTAATGGGCATGGCTTGGTGGTCATGTGACTGGGTGAACATGGCTTGGTGGTCATGTTATTGGCTGGGCATGGCCAACTCAATATCACTCACATCGAGGCACGTATCTCCTCGCCTGGCCTCTCTTGACTGTGGAGATGCTGCAACAGTCGTTGAAAAATGGTCATAAGACACTTTTTCAGTGCCATTTTCATATACCTCCAGCTTTTTTAATGATTCCAGTTCCTTATCCATTGCTTCCTGTCAAGCAGCCTGATCCTTAGCAGAATACAGTTTTAGTTCATTATAGTTATTTGGAACTGTATTCACTTGGCATATAACACTAGCCTGATATCTATCAGGTGGTCATGTTACTCGGGTTGAATGTCTTGGTAATACAGGGCTTACTGGTGGCCTCACTTGTGCCACCTGCTCCTGTTCTTCTACCTTCTCCTGTGCCTGTTCCCCTACTTCCTCCTGTGCCTGTTCTTCCTCTTTAATGGCTATTTGTGGTTTACTTATTTCATCTTTAGGGACTATTTGGGTGTCAATAATAACATCATTGCTGGATTCCTGTTCCAGTTTATCCCACCCAACATGCTCAATAAATTTGGCACTAGCACTATAATAAACATGAGCTGTGCCTTGATCCCAGAATCTAAACAATCTATGGTTGGCTTCGTAACCTACAAAAAATAACTTCTTAGCTCTATGTTGCCCTTTCAGTCTTACTTGTGAGGGAATATTCACTCATGCTAGAGCTCCAAATGTGTGTAGGTAACTTAAATTTGGTTTTCTGCCATGCCAATGAGTGAATGGCAGTTCACCAGTTGTTGTGTTAACTACATTGTTTAACACATGATTACTACACATTATGGCTTCACCCCACAGTGTTTCAGGCAAACCTGAATCAGATAACATAGTGCGAGCCATGGCTTGTAATGTTTGCCCTCTTCGTTCTACAAACAAGTTATGTTGTGGTCTGTAAGGTGCAGAACGTTTATGCTCAACACCAGCCAATTTCAACATTGTTTGGAAACTTTTGTTAACAAACTCAGTCCCATTATCAGTAACTAAAGTAATTACTTTACTTTTTATTTTTCTCTCTGCAAACCTTAGCCAGTTAAAGAAATGTTGGAATGTTTCTGTTTTGTTTTTCATAAGATAGCAGAAACCGTACTGTGAGTAATGGTCCATTATACTCAAAATATAGCAGGCACCTCCTAAACTAGATTTTTTTAGGACCAATTATGTCAGCAAATACAACCTCTAAAGGTTCTTTAGTCTCAAACCCATTAAGTCTGTTTGCAGGAGTAACCTTAATCTTCTCTTGGCTACAGGCATTACAGTTTAAATACTTGTTACAGGGTTTCAATTTTACTCCCTCTGCCAATTTAACAGTTTGTTTCAACATTTTGAAATTAATGTGCCCTAGACGTCTATGCAGTAAATGTATACATTCATCTTGTAGTTTAACATTGTTATAAACCTAGTTAACCATCTGCATCTGGTCATCATGTATCACATATAAATCATTCTCTAAAGTAGCAGTAACACTTTTACCCTCTTTCTCTATTATACAGTTATCTCCCCTAAAGGTTACTACATAACCAAGATTAACTAAAGCCCTTACTGATAACAAATTACATTTCAGTTTAGGTACATATAACATAGTTAAATGTTCATTTATACAAGAACAATATGCAGTACCTTTACTAGAAGCTTTCATCTTCCATCCATTTGCCAGTGATACATGTAGTTTATTCATAAACATCTTTATAAACCTTTTTCTATCTTTAGTAATGCACTGCGATGCTCCACTATCAACAACCCACAAATCATGGTTTACAGTTGAATTGCTAGACATAGCTAAATTAACATTCTTCTTGGCCTTCTGGTGATTACCAGTATTCTGTTGTTTTCCCTTCTTACAGAATCTAGCTATATGTCCCCTAGCCCCACAAGGAAAACATTTCCTAACAGTATAGGCAGTTGAACACAAATCTTCTTATGATTGTTCCTTCCTCAGTTGATCCCTATCCAACCATTTTCTTGCTTCTTCTAACAATCTTCTGGTTATGTCAGTTAATGTCAGTTTATCTCTGGGCAGGACTTCCAGTGAAGATACATAATCATCATAACTTTCATCCAATGAGGAAAGAATGATGTATACTTGATGCAGTTCTGAAAATATCAGTTCTTTTTCATGTAGCTCTTGAAAAGTTCTTTTCATGAAGTTCAAATGAGCTAACATATCTCCACCTTTCAGAAGACATGCTCTAAACAGTTTGTGTGTAAGATGTATGTGTGCACCTACACTGTCACGAACATAAATCCTCTTCAAATTCTCCCAACACTTAGCAGCAGACTCTTCTCCATGAATATGGACTAGCTGCCGGTCACTCACTGTTAGTCCAATTATACAAAGAGCTTGTTCATTGTTCCGTTTAAAGTCAGCAAGCTTCTTGGCATTGTCCTCATTTTCTGGATCCCAAGCATTTACATCTGGTGGATCTTGAACTACATTCCATAAACCGTCTCTACACAGAAGTAGACTGCACTTCATAGACCAGGAAACATAGTTTGTTCCATCCAACCGGGTTATCAGTGATAGACTTGTTGAAGTATCTTGTGCCATCTTTACCCAAATAGTAACCCACAATTAAACAGCTGTCTGTATACAGTACTGTGTATTCACACCAACTCTCAGTTATCTGAGCCTGGTATGGCCTGGGCCCATAACCAGTGTTGAGGTAATTCCCCGTTAGGAGAATGAGCCCATACGAGGAGACGTAGTAAGAGTAGTGAAGAATAATACACACACAGCACACAGATACACTGTACAGTAAATGTAGGTTTTTACTTCTAATAAACGTTTAAGCACAGTCCAAGATAAGCAGTCCAAGTCATTCACAGGTAAAGCAGTCAGTGTTCAGTTCAGGGATAAGCCAAATATCAAAGTCCAGTATCAAAAACAGTTCAGTAACAGACTTACATCAACGATCATTAACAGTCATTTAGGAGGAACGGCAATACTCTCCAACAGAAGAAATAGAGACTCACTGAGACTCTCTTCTGAGACTAAACAACCCAGGTTTCTGGCTCCATCTTATGGCCATTTGAGAAACCATACCCAATTACAGTTTTAGCATTCTCTTAAAAATATAGTATTAAAATGTCTATCCTAGTTTATATATTTCCAACCCAAATAACTGTTAAGTGACTTATATTCCTAACAGATACCTACCTACATTTGTTTCATATATGAGCCTTCTTTTCCGCTGAAATAATACTGCTTTAGATTATCATGTATTAGGTCATTTTTTTCTACAGATCAAAATAAGCAAATGTTATTCTTGCTGATTTTAAAAATGTAATGTTAAATGAAGATGTCTGCCAACAATACAATATGTCTTGGCAGGCCTGTGTGATTGAAGCACTCTTTTGAGAGCGGCAAAATTAACAAGAAAATTAATATATTGAAGGATTATAGAACACAAGATATTCCTAAAAAGGACATTGATTTTCATTTGTTAAATGAAAAATTAATTTGACAAATTCATTTTTGTTACCAGCACCTTGGGCATTAAGCATTAAATTAACCACATTATGCTGTACATTAATTGGCTTAAAATAATGTGAGAAAATAAGAAAGGAGGAACTTGTAAAACTTGTGGCCTTTTACACTGTAGTCAAAACATCAAATTAGCTGTATCCTGATATAAAATTCATCGTGTTGGCAAAGTGTTGTAATTTGGTTCTGCATAATAATCTATATCAACCTTCTCCAACATGGTATCTACAATTTCCACAGCTATGCTTAATAGCTGGGATTATATTGAAATACTTTTTTAAAAAAAATCAGCACATAAAATATTAATTACCGACCTATTTATAACTCTTACAGGGAAATGTATGTGGATTTGTTCAGCATACTTGAACATAAGCCTGCATAAAGTACAATGCCTTATTTGATGCTAACAATATCTTCATTGTGATGTCCTTGGTCCCCATCGAGGTTGGTTTGTTGCTTGCTTACAGATGTTTCATTACCAGACGAGGAAACATCTTCAGTAAACTTATGCCATTCATGTATTTTGAAATCCAGATAATTTAACATGTGAAGAGATTCAACAAACTCAGAAGTCCATACAAGCCCACTTTTTGTTGATGTCCACAAAGGCTCCACAGTCACTTGTCCATTGAGTGTGCTCTACAGATAAAGCCAGATTGGGTGACTAAAAAACCAGGTAATAAGGGAGGCCAATTCACATGGAGACCAATGTTCTGGCAGTCATATCTGTAAATCCTTCCCTCCTGCAGGCCTTCACACTCAATGCATAAATACTTGCAATATTTAATAACATTTGAATGATGTTGGCTTGAGACATGACCAGCAGAATCCTGGGATGTCAACTAAGCTGAAATGGCCACACTTACATACAAAGGAGCAAGGTTTTAATTGTGTTGTCATGATCTTAACTTTTTTGACTTCTTCACCGGAAGCCCTTGACACATCTTTTCTGATCCATTCACATTCAGATTTGTGAACTTGGTTTCAGATTTCTTAAATTCTAAAATACTTCTACAGAGTTTATTCCCTTCCCATCTCTTCTTAACCTTCCAGAAAGAGTCCACTGTCGTATCATTTCACTTTTTCCTCTGGTGCTGCTCACTTTTTCACCTTTGCCATGCTACTTTCTCTGTACAGTTTTCCTTCCTTCCATCCATCCAAAACTAATTTTAGATTCAAATCTCCTAAAATTAATTCCTTAAATTCTCTCTCTCACACACACAAATGCATATTGAGTCCCTTCCAATTAATTTAACTGAATGATTTTCCTCTAATGAAAGGTGGGACAATAAAAAAATGAATAACCTCCACATTCAATTTAATTAATTTTGTCCTAATCACTTTATCCGAACAGATTAATTTTTAGATGAAATCCATCCACCAGTGTCCCTTCAGTTATCCCTGATAATAATTTAGTCTCTACTCCAAAATAAGAGCCATAATTTTCTTTTCTGCTCCAAGTGACTTTTCAGTGAAGTATATAACAAAATCATAAACTGTATTTAGGAATCCATAGAAAATTTGGAGGGAGAGGATGAACTGAGCACCGTAGTCTTAGTGACAAACAATTATATACATTCATCAAATGTCTTAACATATCTGACTCATTAGAAAACCACATCATTTGCACAATGACATAATGCCCTGATGTCATACAGTTGACCTTAGGACAATTTACTGTTCAATCTAAAACTGCCTGCAGTTATTCCAAATAACTTCTTGAGCTCTATCATAAATTATCCATAAAGCACAATAAAGCCTGACACAATTAATAGGAACCCATTGTGGGTATCTAGAGAAATTTCATATAGATTGCTCCAGGGTGCCTTTTGTTCATTTTAGTCTGCATAAAGATGGGGCTGCCAAATTGGCTGTGCCCCTCATTGAGGCAATAATCTATTGCTGGATAATTACTTGGATATTATGCAAAAACTTAGAGCTGCTTTTGATGATTTGACCCCAAATAGCAAGAGCAAACTGAGAGATTTGCAAGCGAAGCAAAGGAATCCCAATCCAGGCTTCCATATCTGATTTCCAGATATATGCCAGAGATATGAGGTGGGATGACCTTACTTTGATTGATCAGTTTTTGAGAAAGATTTGATGTGAGTTGAGAAATGAATTGATGAGAAAAGAGACACTAGACACCTGTTGCAATGTTTTGTATTAATTGATATTTGATTGGAGGCGTTGAAGTCTTATTGGTTTTTGTCTCTCTTTCGTGGCCTCCTTGAAATCCAGCTCCAGAAAATCCATGCCACTAAGAGCAGTGCCTAGCAGATCCTGTGCCTAGCAGAGAAGAGAAAGAGTTTACTGTGGAGATACAAGACCCCTAGCTAAGACTTCTTCACGGGCACTTAATAGAAAACAATATCTTATTTGTTAATTTGTTAATTTCATTTCCTACCTTTCATTTAAGAGCTAAAGACAGCGTACTAGCACATCTTCCTTATCTTCACAACAATCCTATGAAATAGTTGGGTCTTAGAGAGAACAACTGGCGCAAAGTCTTCACAACAATCCTATGAAATAGTTGGGTCTTAGAGAGAACAACTGGCCCAAATTCATTATTGAGCATCTGTGGATTAGAGTGGACCTGCATCTCTCTACCCCTCAACCAACCCTTTAAATGCTACAATTCTCATTTTCTGTAATAATTGCATGTTGATTGAGTTACAGACCATTTGCAACTTTTTGAAGAACATTTTTCTATATCCAAGGTTTCTAGAGTCAAGATGTTGATTACATGTGTAGACTTGGTGTTAATAATGCTTATATATCATACAGAGTGCTTTTCCATTTCAAACAAAGTTCATAGCCACCTTTGGTGGCTATCAGTTCTTCAGTATATGACTTTAGATGTGCAATTACAGCTTTGGGGTAAACTTTTGTGTTTATTTTAATTTTAAATATTCTCTAAAGCAAGAAGAAATAAATAACAATATAACAGTTTACATTATAGTACAATGCATTTCAACATTCAGTCATAGGTTACATAGAGCATTCAACTTAGCAACATATAATATCGATACATTATTCAAATGTTATTAGTCACTTTTTTCCATAAGGACAATTTACCATACTTTTGCATGCCAATTATTTAGTGAAAATCTTTTTAAAAATCCATTTTTGAGAAATTCTCAGTTTTACATCCAAGAATAACAAAATAATAAGCCCCATTTTTGTTTAGTTTACAGTCATCTCGCTCAAAAAATATGCTACAACCCTAATTCTGGGATACATTCTACTTTGTTTGCAATTTCTTTGCATGATAGGCAGAATTTGTTTCCCATGGGTGGTAAGATAATTAAAGTTCTATTTGTTATACTCATTTTCATCCATTAGATTGACTTGGACATCATCAATTCTGAAAGTAATGGTGATTCCATTTAAATATTTTCTTTTAACTTACTCTTTTTTCTGATGTTCCACCATGTCCATGTCAACTGAGTGTAGGGGGCAATCAATTTCAGACTCACAGTTTTTTGGCATATTTATTGAATTATTTTTGTAGTTTTAACCATGTGCCTTTCATTTTTGTGTTGACCAATACTGGAGGCTTACCATAGCTGTGTGCCCTAACTTTCACTTGTGAATGAGCAATTTCCACTGCTTGGCATAGATCAATAGGATTTTCTGGGGGCAAACTGTGCCTGTCTAAGTAAACATCCTTTCATTCACTTGTTCCTGTTTTTTCTGTCCAAAGCAATTTGATCTTGGATCAAAGCTTCAGTCAACGTAACAAAGCTGCAAGACTTTCATTTTAGTTCAGGTGTTATAAATTCTTCATTTGACTGTTTCTTTTTGTCAGACAAGACCTGCAGACAATTTTTTCATCAGTTACTTTTTTTCCCCCACAACACATTGGGGCAAAGTGGGGGTTCAACTGTAGCAAATATCAACTTCAACTACTTTGTATCCAAAGATGTTTTAAATATATAGGAAACTATAAACTGCTGCCTCAAATTCAAAGCAGAATAGAACTGATTTCATACCAAGCAGGTAAGCATCTATTACAATAGCAATTATGGTATTTGCTCCTTGGCTGCAGAAAAGTCAGCTTCCCCCCACCCCCCATCCCCATCTTCTGCATTATTTGTCTTAGCTTGACTTACCATACAGCAGGTTAAGATTATTTATTATTTGTGATTGTCATTTTTAAAATAATTATTAAGCAATCTAACTGACAAATAGAAAATACTGCTATATGTCTTCCATCTCTTATTTCCTGCTGTGCAGACCAGATGTTCCAATTTCTGGTCAGCCACCAGTTTGCTGAGAGTAAAAGAGACAGACAGACAGAAAATTATTTAACGTATGATGAGAACATGAGAAAGAGAAGTAAACATAAGCACATAAACCATGTAATTATATTATGAACCTCTATAAGGGTACAGCAATGTCTTCAAAGTTGAATGTCCAGTTCTGCTATCCAGGCAATCACCTCTGGCATTGCTTCATGGAGATCTTCTAGGGAACCAGAGAACACATTATGGGCAATCTTACCCAATATGTTTAATAGTTTGTGTTCTGTCTCGCCTTTCCTCTTTCCCAAAAGATGAAAGAGTACAAACTCACAAACACAGGCAGGCAAGCTGGCTCAGACTTCACAGAGTTAATTCTTTGGAAATGATAATATTCTTGGCATTCCAACATGTTCTGCCTGCCAAGTCTGAACTGATATTAAATAAAATTTTACTCACAGAAAATCACAAGGCAGTCCACAAAGAAAATCTGAAGTAAGGTTAAACTTTGTCCGGTACAAAGTTTCAGGAGAAAACACACCCACTTTTATCCCCTGTGGGGTGTGGCTCAATAACTCAGCTCACTCTCTGACCCTCCCACACCTCCTACGTTGCTGCTCACATTTCTCCCTATGATGCTGCTTAGGATCGAGCCAACACTCTTCCTCTTTACTCCCTGTCAGGGGCTGCTCCGATATGCCTTCCTCCTGATTAATCTCAGGCTGTTCCTCTCGGTTGTCTGATGGAACCTGAGGGGGGGAGGAAGGTCCTGGGGAGGAAGGCATTGCCAGAGAGGAAGGTCCTGGGGAGGAGGCATTCCCAGTTCCTCCTCCTCATCTTCCAGGTCCTCTTCCTCTGACAGCATAGGCTCGGGAATCAGGGCCACAACAAGTTTGTATATTAGCACCATAGTCGCAACAAGGGGGATCTTTCCAATACCTTTAATAAAAGGCAGAGACACATCCTCTGGTGTCACACCTAATTCTATTCATGTAGCAGATTGGAGAGGGGATACCCATGCATTTGCCTACCTATCAGTGATAGGTAAAACAAATAAAGCAATGTCTGTGGAATACCTATCCACTAAATTGTTTCCTTCATGGAGAGGAAAACACCTAGGATCCCACTTTCTATCTCTATTGTGCTACTGTTATGTACATAAAAGAGGTAAGGCTGGGATAATTTAAGCCCCTTCTTCCCTACAGATCATCTCTATTAGCTCTGGAAACTTCTGGGCCTTTTGATATATTAATTTAGACATAAAGATATTGTAGATTGTTGAAACTAATCTACATGTCTTTTGACTGACTTTTAACCATTGTTGCCAGTGAAATTTTTCATCTGTCTACCTTAACCCACACCCCAAGAAAAGGATGGCCCTTATTTATTAGCATTGGCATTCAAAATTATCTATGTAGAGGCATGCATCTAGATTTATTCTTCATAGATAATTCAAACCTTCATTACACTTAATTTGTTTTTTATTGGGTTTCCAAATGCAGACAAAACAGTACCCAGGGAAAACAAATTACAAAATATTGCTTCAGAGAAATTGTGTAATAGAATTGTAAAGAATAATATATGTTAATAAATAAAAATGGAAAACCACGAGAGGAAAGAAAATCAAGAAAGGACAATAAAACACTGAAAAATAGATGTCTTGCCCCATGAGAGCTCAGCCAACATTGCTAATAATTGAAGATTAGGGATGCAGTCTGTGCTGCAAGGATTAATTTTTCTTTTGGATGACACAGAATAGAAATGAATGTTGAGATCACAAATATTTTGTTGAACAGGGATGAGCAATCAGCCAGGATGATGTTTGTAATTCATAATTCAGTCACCAAAACAAATATGCCAGCTTTTATTCCAATACTTGTGACATGTAAACTGTTACCAGTGTTTTTATTTCAAATTTCAGTTTCATTTTAAACACATAATATTTTTAATTATTGTTCTTTTATCATACCAAAATTCATGGGCTGAATTGGGTTACTATTAAAAAACATTGTCATCAAGATCATATATTTGAATCATAAAATTGATCTTCTGTTTGAAGTCATCAACTTGTAAGATCTTACTCTAACCCTAACCCTAAATTTTCATCAGTTTCATTATCTTCCATTATCTTTTAAAATGCAACATGATTTTCACAATTGTTGATAGAGATTCTCAGTCATCTAGGTCATGGTTGTTCCAAAGGTGCTTTTTCAAGAGGCAACTGGATTTTCTAGTGTTTTTTTTTCTTTTGAAGATGTTTCACTTCTCATCCAAGAAGCTTCTTCAGGTCTGATTGGATGGTGGGGAATGGAAGGATTTATACACATTGCAGACAGCTGCTCATTTGCATTCTTTTAGCAAATCGTTACAGCCATCTGGAAGTTTATCTATGTCATCAGTCTCACCTGAGTAGTTCAAATGCTTGTGGAGCCTTCTTGAAACTGTTGAAAGGACTGTGTTGTAGACTGGAGATAGATGATGTTGTAATCTCAGCCCAGACCACATATGTGTCATCATGGACCTCTGCCTGACCAATAATTATTTTAAATACAATGGAGGTTTCTACAGACAAAACACAGCTGCACCATGGATTCATCTGTGTCCCCCGTTGTGGGCAATCTCTACATGGAAGAGATAGAAACCAAAGCCCTAGACTCCTTCACAGGAATTCCACCTGCTCACTGGTATAGCTACGTGGATGATACTTGAGTCAAGATCAAAACACAGGAATTGGGAGTGTTCACCAAACATATGAACTCTGTGGATAGATACATCAAATTCACACAGAAGATGTTAAGGAAAATAGTCCAGTCTTCCTGGACTGTGCAGTACATGTTAAGGAAGAGAGTAGTCTTAACATTGAAGTCTACAAAAAAACCCATCCACACAGATCAATATTTAAACTTTGATTCCGACTATCCACTGAAACACAAAATGGGATTCATCAGAACCTTACACTGAAGGCCTGCCTTCCAGCAAAGATGGAAAAGAAAAAGAACTAAAACACATCAAGGAAGCCTTCAGAATATGTGGCTATTCCAAGTTGGCCTTCATCAAATCTCAAAAAAGATCCTACAGGAGCTCCTCCATAACAGACAATGAAGAGAACAATAAATAAAGCAATGTTGTCATTCCAATTGCAGGAATATCAGAAAAGCTCAGGAGGATCTTCAGCCAACACAACATACGTGCATACTTCAAACCCAAGAATACACTAAGACAGATGCTTGTCTACCCTGAGGATAAAACACCCAGTTGCAAACTGAGCAATGTGATATATGCAGTACAGTGCAGTGAGCCATGTATAGATCTGTACATTGGAGAAACAAAACAACTACTTCATAGACACATGGCATAACACAGGAGAACAAATCCATCAGTACTAGATTCAGCAGTCCATCTGCATTTAAAAGACAAAGGCCACTCTTTTGAAGACAGCAAACTCCACATTTTGGATAAAGAAGACCACTGGTTTCAAAGAGGGGTTAAAGAGGCCATCTATGTCAACATTGAGCAGAAGGGGAGGGATACAACATCATCTATCTCCAGTCTACAACACAGTCCTTTCAACAGTTCCAAGAAGGCTCCACAACCATTTGAACTACTCAGGTGACTCTAATGACACAGATAAGCCTCCTAGTGGCCTTAACAACTCACTAAAAGAGTGCAAATGACTAGCCCTCTGCAAGGAGTATAAATCCTTCCATTCCCCACCATCCAATCAAAGCTGAAGAAGCTTCTTAGATGAGAAGCGAAACAACTTCAAAAGAAAAACCAGAAAGTCCAATTGCCTCTTGAAAAAGCACCTTTGGGCCTTTTCAAAATCAAGTACTCTTTTTCTGACTACATACAGTGACTGTGTGTGTGTGTGTGTGTGCGTGCGTGTGTGTGTGCACGCGCGTGTGCGCTCAGGTACATGCGCGCATGCATATCGAAAGAGCATTTAGGAGCATTTATCTCAGCAACCTTCTTGAGAGTTGATTAAGTTGGATAAACCATAGCTATTGCCAAACAGGAAAGCTGAAATAATATTTTTTGACTTCTGACATCTGATATAATAATAACTTGGTCCTAAGCATTCTCCCAAACCAAATATAGATTGAGACTCAATTGCCTGTTAATACTGAAAATCTAAAATTAAAACCTGGCACAGTTCTAATATTAATATTTCATAAGCATGCAAAATATTAGATTAATACTGACCTCATTATGCAAGTATATTATGTTCACACAGCAAATTATGGAGACATTTATATCCTAAATTAGATATTTGAACTCTATGTATTTGATAGACATATTTAAAGATATCTAATCTTTAAATGGATAAATGGCTTAGAAAAGCACCAACTATAGACATACCACAAAGCCTAGAAAATACTATAAAATATAATACCTCAGAAAATAAATTATTTATTGGCCAAATTGTAATAGCTAAAAATCACAAGTTAACAATATTTATTCTAGATGTGATATGAGATCATCTTAAAGTTTTGGGATTAAAGTTAAGAAAGATCACCCTATTCTACATAGATGTCCATCAAGGACTGGCAAAATAAAATATAACCCCAAAATAAATTTTGCTAAATTCTGTATTTACATACTGAACCATTAACTGGAATACGAAGTTCTATGTATCATGCATCAAAGGGAAAGTGGTTCAGCAAATGTATTTTAAATATTTGATGATTTAAAAAATATTTAAAATAGATACATTTTCCAAAAAAAATATTATCTACAAATTGACAGATAAAATGTTAAAATTGTACAATGAATGCTACTCTCCAAGTTTAAGTTCCCAATCAGAGATTGTTGGTTTTGTCTTTTTTTGGTAAAGTGCAAGTGTGTTTTTGCAGCTGTAAAGATGTATCTTAATAAATTATGGTACTTTTTATTGATGTTCTCTGGTATTATAGCTATAAAAATGTGAATTCATTTTAAATTTGATCCCTAAAATTTTATGAATTTGTACTTCTTTCTAATACTTCGGGGGAGTGGTATATGTCTATTACATATTGTAAAATGTTCCTTTTATCTCAAGGCATTTCCAGCATTCTTTAAAATATGGTTTTCCTGTTTGGGCATTATTGGCAGTTGAATACCATCTGTAAAACATTTTATATTATTAACTAATTTAACTAATTTAGTTAATTTCTTTTCTCATAGAAACAGGAAAGAATACAGGTAATGCTCAATTTATGACCACAAATGGGCCCAAAATTCCAGTTGCTAAGTGAAACAGTTGTTGAGTGAATTTTCCCCATTTTACAACTTTTCTTGCCGTAGCCGTTCGGTGAATCAATGCAATTGTTAAATTATTAACATGGTTAATTCCCTCAAGAGGACAAAAAGGGCTTCATTTCTTCTCAGTGATGTTGATACATTGCTAGATGTGATGGACAACTTTAATAATACATAGTGAACGTCAGTTCTCCATGATCTTCAGCACACTGTGAATGACCACTGCAGTAGATGGATATCTGCCACCAATACTTTCCCCAGTTGTCCAAAGGGGCTTCTTCGTACTGGAAAAACACACATTTAAAGAGAATTGGGCTGATTCAACAAGTCATTTGTATTCCTTCACATCTGGAAGACAATTAATAAAGAAATCAAAACTTGTGAATAAATGATGGCTTTTCTCCTGCAAGAGACCTCCTGGACTCCACCTGAATATTTTTACCTAGAGCAATTTATTGCTCTAGGCAAATATATAGGGCAAAATGTATTTATTTGTTAATAAATAAAAGGTGTTTGAAACAAGGCTGTTTTTCAGCTGTATCATTTTAAAACATTTTACTGGGCATAGAAATTGGTATCATGAATACAAATCAACCCAGGCTTTCTGCACAATAAACACAGGTGCAGTTGCCTTGGTTTGTTTTTATTTTATTTTTTTAAGAAATCACTTTTTTTTCTGATATGTCTTTCTGAAGCCATCCGGGGGATTGATTTGATGAGGAATTAGAGATTGTGCTCTAAAACGTAATAAAAATACAGAGCCTTTGCATTAATCATTGGACTGCATTCAAAAATACAAGGAGGAAAGTATTTGTTTATAGCCCTTTTAATTAACATTATCTGTGGTAGACAGCAAAATAATGTTAACCATGGAAAGCTAATGCATTTCAGATAGCATTAACACTTCTGAACTTGTTCTTCTCATAATTAATGTAATATGATAGGCAAATGTTATGAGATCCCCTATAAAGCCTATTTGGTTTTATTTAGGTTATTTTAATAATGAGACTGTTTTTGCATTATCTTTTTCGTCTCTAGTTGGAATGTACAACAAAGAGAGAACAGAGTAGTTATATTTATTTGGCTAGTAAGCGTAAATTACTTGATAAAAGCAATGGAGCAGTATATTGTGTGCATAAAATTAAAGCCTTCTACATAAAGACTGCAGTTCAGATGGATGAAATGGATGGAAACTAATCAAGGAGGGGGGCAACTTGGAATTAAGGAGAGACTTCCTAACAGTGAGGACAATTAACCATTGGAACAGCTTGCCTCCAGAGTTGTAGGTGCTTCATCACTGGAGGTTTTTAAGAAAAGACTAGACAACCACCTATCTGAAATGGTATAGGGCAGTGGTTCTCAACCTGTAGGTCACGACCCCTTTGGGAGTCGAATGACCCTTTCACAGAGGTCGCCTAAGACCATCAGAAAACACATATTTTCGATGGTCTTAGGAACCAAGCCATAATTTTATGGTTGAGGGTCACCACAACATGAGGAACTGTATTAAAGGGTCGTGGCATTAGGAAAGTTGAGAACCACTGGTATAGGGTCTCTCCTGCTTGAGCAGTGGGTTGGACTAGAAGCCCTCCCAGATACCTCCCAGCTCTATTTTGATTGATTGATTGATTGATTGATTGAAGCTTATGTGCTCCTGCACACCTGATGGCTAGGGATATATCATTATGGAGAAAATATATGTGGATGCTAGGCGTTGAAAATGGTTTGATAGCAAACAGTCAATCAGCCAATCAAAAGAAATTTCAGAAGAATCAGCTGTGGTCTTGTCTGCTCAAAGTTAACTCATTTGGAGGGCTAAGTTGGAGAACCAGTAGTGTTATAGAAGTGGAGAGATCTTGGTGCTGGTTCACAGCCATGGAAATTCCTTGGGTGACTTTGGACAATCAAGCTACTCCACTGCTGTGGGGATAAAATAATGGGATAAAATAATCCCATATAACTTAGTATATGTGGACTATAAATCAAATAAAGAAATACATAATATTTTGGCTTTGCATTGGTATATCTGAAAACAGAATACATTAGGATTGTTCTTTCCTTTTGCAACTTGTGAAGGACCATTTGCACACTGGAAAGTGCTTCTTCATCGTCATCTTCCTACTGCTGAGTTCAGATGAAACATTCCTGTTTAAGTCCATTGTTAGGAAAAGGTCTAAGATTCTAGATCCTTGAAGGCCTCTAAGTGTCTGACTAAAAAAAATGGGAAAAGGAGACAAAACTCCCTTACTTTGCTTACTTTGTGTATAGGAAGAGTGGCCCATGTCTTCAGTAAAACATCTCCATATTAATTTTCTGAAATGGAATTCCCAAAGCTATTTGCAGTGATTAGGGTAGTGATGGTGAACATTTTGTGTTGAAAGCACGCACATGCCGGCACCCACAGTGCAATGCACGCAACATTCCTGCCCTGCACCCTTACCTGTGCATGCATGAAACTTCCAGCTGATTTTCAGCCCTTTTGAGGCCATTTTCGTCCTCCTGGAGGCTCAAGGGAAGCCTCTACAGGAGGCTGAAAAAAACGGCCTTCCAGAAATACCGGAAGTACCCGTTTTCAGCCTCCAGAGGGCCTTTGGAGCCCAGGGGAGGCCTTTATGCCCTCCTGGAGGCTCGAGGGAATCCTCTGAAGCCTCAGGAGGCTGAAAATGGGCCCATTCTGGCACTTCCGATATTTCCAGAAGGCCCATTTTTTGGCTTCCCAAGGCTGCAGAGGCTTCGCTTGAACTGTTTGATGAACTCATGCAGGCAGACATAGAGGTGGCAGACGCCGTCCAGGAGGGCAGCCTCATTCAGGTGCAGGAATAGCAGCAGCTCTGAGGAGGAGGAGGAGGAGGAGGAGGAAGGGCACTGGGCCAGGCCCACAGAGGGAGGGCTAGCCCCACACTCAACCACCGCCCCCCAGCAGGCTGCTGCCCCCAAAGGAGTGTCAAGATGCCAAAATGACCTCAGGAGATGCCAGCTGAGATGAGGAGTGCCTGGGAGGGGAGGGGTGAGGGGCAGGGGCAGCCAGTGGTGGACATCAGCCGGTTCTCTGAATTGCACACAAAGTTAACAAAGTGAACAAAGTATTCAGCCGAATCAGCTGAATACCACCTCTGTGTAAACTATACAAAAAAGAACAATCCATCCATGCAAGGGACTAATGCATCCAGAGGTGATATTCAGCAGGTTCTGACCAGTTCTGGAGAACTGGTAGCGGAAATTTTGAGTAATTCGGAGA